TTTGTTTACTAAAGATAGCGTGGGCGTTTGATTGACACTCAACTCATTAGTATTCCACCAATCACAGCTACATCTACTTTCTGGATGTGCGCAGTCAAATTGTATAGGAGACAAGCTGGAGTCTCGTGTGGCGATAGCGATAACACCGGGACGAATGGTCTGGGGTAATATTAGTTTTACTTTTAGTGAAATGTGATAGTTGTCACCGTACACATTAATTTTCCGAAAGTCTTATTCAAAATTTGTCAAATGAATAAGTTTTTTTTTCTATGTAACTATGTAATAAAACAAAGCAGCCATGTTATTCTGGAAATACAGTTTCATTCTATCAACAACTAAAAGCGAATCACTCAAAGATCACAGTTGTATTATGTAGTGTAATGTTTTATTGTGGATATGAAGAAATAACCATGATGTAAATTTTTCATTTAAACAAAAACACGACATACACTAAAACAAATACAATATTGCATATTGTATTATACCAATAATTATTTCCCATTTTTCTTTAAACTTGTTTTGTTTTCATGTTAATATTTACTACTGATTCCACGACATGATAACGACAATGTCGGTATTGAAACGTAGTGGGCTTATCGAAACTAATATCTCCACAACGCAAAGGACATCCTGATAGACTGAAAAACATAATAAGTGTGGAGTTGTTATAAACGTTTTGTAAACATGCATTTTCATAAATCAAACTGACTGTTAGAAATCAAATGGGCCAATCAAGAAACGATGTGGCATCACGAGTTCTAATTAAAGCGCTGTGGTCGTCGCGCAGCGCGTGTTCGAATTTCTTGTAAATAAACAATCATGTATTTCGCACGCGTTGTATGTGTCGCTATGAGTCCTATATCGAACAGGACGCGGTACGACGACTTTAATATTAATGAGTTAGTTCAACATCATCCAATCAGCAAGCCTCTCATTTTTGATAAGTGGACGGTCGCTTTTAATAGGTCACTTGACGGCTTGTGTGCGCATTATTTAAATCTGAATGAAAGCTAATAATCGGTATTTATAAATTGTTATAAATAAGTTTATAAACTAAGGTATAGACTGGCAAAGTCGGGACTTTTTTTTGTTGACAAAAAGACATAATTAACTGTTTTAAGTCGTTTTAGTGTGATCTCGAAAACTAACGTGACCGTGAAAAAAATCCCGACTGTTATTAATTATTCATGATGTCATTGATTATTCATGAGTGGTTGTGTGAAAGTAGACACATCAAACCCAAACATTGGAGCTTCCGGACTTGTTCTTTCATTAACGCTATCAAAGAAGAAATAATCACAACTATTGTCGCCGGTAAGTCGCTCAGCTTCATCAGACGGCATTGACTTAAACAGAAAAGGACAACTCCGCACTTCAGAGATTGTCCGCTTCCCGTCGCAATGGCAACAAACACGTCCTTACCGCGTAGTAACAACTTTCAATAAACTTTCTTTGATTTGATCGCAGAGATGGATACTTTAACTTTCTAAGTGCAAAGGCGATACTTTCATCCATGTTTACTGAAAACAAGTCGATTTAAATATCCAATGTATATAAGTAGTCTTTCAAAATCGCCTGGACCCCAGAAGTGAAAGGTCACGTACATCAACATAGATAAGTTATGACGTACATAGCTGCACTCTGATTCGTTGTCAGTGCTAGTCAACAGCTTTTAATTAGCATAATCACCGGAGTGATTCCGCTCCGGTTTTCATTCTAACGCAGGGGCTCGCCTGAAGATGCGTCCAGTCGGGATTTCTCTCGCAGTCACGCTAGTTTTCGCGATCACGTTAAAAAGTCTAAATTGACAATTAATTATATTGTTTATTGTAAAACAAAAAAGAAGTCGTGACTTTGCCAGTTTTCTGCTTTCACTGTAGTCGCAAAAAAATTATAGAATGTACATGGGTCGACACATTGTTTATTCCATCATTTGAGCATACACTAGGGTGATCAGATAATATATAAAACCTTTATAAACGATGTATTCTGCCGCATGAAATAAAGTAGTCTCAAAACGTCACTACTTGGAACATATTTCCTAATTTCCAAACAAAAATATTTAAAAGATATTATATGCTTTTATATGTATAAATCAGGCGGACCGGAATTGTCAGAACCAGAACATAAAGGTGATAATGGACACGTGGACAAGACAGGCAGGATATCCGCTTATTACGGTCACCAGAGATGCTAAAGATATACATGCTGAGCAAGAAATCTTTCTACAAAACGCATACGATGAACCATCGGACAAATTTGAGAATCTCGGGTAAGGCTCGCCGTAGATGGCGTTATTCATGCGAAATGTTAAAGTAGTAGAGTACTATCGAGTCCCCCCTCACCAGTAGTGTTGTATATTTATATACATTCATTTCACACGCAGGTTTCTATGGTACGTGCCACTCACTTGGACAGACCAATCTGAATTACAATTTGAGAGTCTGGGGCCGTGTAACACTCATGTCAACTCAAAATGGATGAATAAAGCACCAGGTACACTGTTCGTTTTGACGCGCCCTCCTAAAGCTATATATGTGCTGTCTGATAGTCGTCTTGGATTGTTCTGTATTAAATTAGACACATATTGAATATGTGATGTCATGGTTCGTTCTACATATTGTGAATCATGGTGGCATCAGTAGCTCACTGTGTTATTGTTTGTTTTTGTTTTGTTTTTATTTTAAGCCGATTTCCAGTTAAATACAGAAAGTGACGACGATTGGTTCATCGTTAATGTCAATCAAAATATGTACTATAGAGTGAATTATGAAAATGAAAATTGGGAGAAACTATCAAACTATTTGATACCAAGTCATACGGTGGGTTTCTTTTAATGTGTTTGTTGTTGCATGCATTAAGTATACACAGCAATTATCGTTTATAATATCCACGACGCACCTTCCAAATAACTCGCGCCCATAGCAACGAAGCGCTTCCACGACGTAAATGCGCGTGTGAAGAGTGACGTTTACGTCCACATTGGTTTAAGTCGTCCGTCAATAACAAAACAATAACATTTTAAATGAGAAACACAACCAACAACATTTTCTAAATCGAACGACATTGTTTTGTTTTTCTTATTTGTTATCATCATGATCGGCGTTATTATACGTCATAGTCGCGTTCCGTCGCTAGCGGGCGTGGTTTGTGGGAAGTGGTTAAAAGACGATATATTAATCACTTTTCATTTTAAATCCAGGATATACCAATTCGAAATCGTGGTGCTCTCATAAGTGATGCGTTCAACATCGGTAAGTCACATCGAGGTGATCACGTGAATGCTTTGAAGATTATTCAATACCTTCGTGATGAACGAGACTATAACCCATGGTTAACAACCAGGGATAATTTAGGTTTCACGGTTCATATGATATGGAGAACGTCCACATATGGATTCTTTGAGGTGAGTCACGCTATTGACTTTATGAATTGTTGAGTTTCTACTACGTTGAATATTGGGCGTCCACTGTCTGCACAAAACAATACACATGTCGTGGCAATGGAGCAATAACACTGATAATAAGTGATTTCCCGTTTACTGCGAGATCTCGCGTAATGCGTGAAAGGCGCGAACTGAACGTCTGCTGCAAAAATCAAATGATTTGATTCCGGAAATAATTTCAATATTTTATAGTTCAGTTTTGAAATGTCGAGTTTTCAGAGATGTATCTGACGTTGGAATACACTCACTCTAGCAAATTGACTATCATTAACTGTGTATAACGCATTATTAATCGTGGAAATACTTCCCAAAACACACGATTGTTTTGACGCCTCTACGACGCTATGACCTTTGTTAGTCCTGTTCGATTTCACGCATAATGCGCGATCTCACAATGAACAGAAAAATATTCTATTTTTTGAAGATCTTCAAAACTCGGAACATTTCGATTCAAAACAAGGATAACGCGAATTGACAAACCTTACACGTCGTATTGTACACCGGTGAAACGGAGCAGATAAACTGTCACTAACATTACCAACATGTACTGACCGCATGCCCGTTGCGTCGCCGTTAACAAGCGATGGTTTTATTTATTTATATTCTATTGTAAACAGCGTTATATTCGTTACTTGAATGAACCCATTTACGATGAGCTTGGTTGGGATTTCAAAAAAGCTTTGGAGGACGACCACATTGACTAGTAAGTACAAGTTGATTGAACTGATGTCTTCAAATTTTAATTGTCTATTGCCATACTTCTGTACTCTACAGAATGTTCACAGACGTCACTCCTGAAGCGACAGTTTTGGTCTAATAAACTGGGGAGAAGCAGCAGTTTTGATCTAAAATCACTAATTACAATTCGAAATTCCAGGATTTGTATCAATAGTACTTGCATTGCATGGACCATGGATATATTGACGTAGGATTCGTATTTTTTGTATATAAGTCGGTGTTCCAAAACGAAAAATTTAACATAGACACATTTGAGGGCGCTGTAACATAGTAAATCATGAACAGGCTAGTAATACAAACACTATGTTTTGAGTCACTTGGAGTGATTGGAACAAACGTTGTCATCTTTTAAACTAGACTCTATATAAGTATCATTTCAAGACAAAAAATGTGACGATTGCTTTCTTGGTATATTGATGATAAAATTGATTTGTCATTCTCTCTAGTCATAACCGTGTTATTGCAGTAGAATTGGCATGTGAGTACGGCAACGATGACTGTATACAGAACACCACTGAGCAGTATCACCACTGGATGTACACGGGAATAAACGAGTACGTATCAGTCATGTTTGTGTCTGGCAATGAGGGCGCTGTGTGTGTGTGTGTGTGTGTGTGTGTGTGTGTGTGTGTGTGTGTGTGTAGTAAGGACGATGAAGGCGTAGTGCGTGTGACAATGAGGAGTGACGAGTTTTTATTTTCGTAATAATGTAATAACGACACGTAAATTTGTAGACATGGGCAAGGTGTAAAATGTAATCAGCTATTTTATTCGTCCGTAATTTGTACAAAGATCTTATTTTTTGTAATTCGTACGCAATTTCCAATTTTAATTTTTAAACACAAATTAACAAATAAATTATAAAAATGTAAAATGTAATTAGAAATTTGCTTTATCTGTAAAGTGTAAACACCTATTTTTACTGTAAATGAAACTTTCATTTTAATTTCTGTAAAAACGTAAAATGCCTTTTTTTTCCTGTAACGTGTATATACCAGCTATCCCCATTGCTCCTCCAATAAGGGCATAGTGTTTGGCGGTGTGTGTGTTCATTGTTGTATAGTGTGGGTGTCCATTTTTAGGGCTAATCTGCACTGGCTCGGAAGGTTGTAAATGATTAGCTAGTTTGAATTTGCATAACAATACTGAATGAACGTGCATTCAACGCCACAAGTTTTTTTGTTTTTTTAGCCAATCAGAATTCATCTTCCGAGCCAGTGCAGATCAGCCGCATTTTTACCTCGGTATATGTGTGGCTGGCTTCCTAATGGAATGTTTTCGATCGCCATCTTCAATGGTTTTTGCATTATTTGCGTGCATACTATCTAGGTACATAGATGAATAAGTGAACATGTGCAAAAAAAAATGGGGATAAAAAATGACAAGAGTGTCTAGACGAGCATAAAATTTAAGATTTGTATGGAAAGCCTGGACCAGGATAGGCAGTAAGTTAGTTACTGTGCCCTCGCCTCAGGCTGTAGAATACTGCGTAAACCATTAAATCCGTCGGCGAGGGCGCAGTAACGTACATCGACTACTGACACCAAATTAGGACATTTACTAAAAATTGCTATTACATTGACTGTTACCACAGTCCTTCTATCACTGTATACGTATGTGGAAAACGCACAGTTTTTGGTAATTTTGGGGGTTATAATTATCAGTCGAAAGATTTGGTTGAAATCGGGTATATTACTTTACAGTTTGGTATGTAACGTGCTCACTACTGTCCTCATTGTCAGATTTCAGATTTATTTTAAACACCGCATGGGCACATTGTTATTAGCTGTATAGAGTACAAACGTATTCACAGTCCCACTGAGGAAGGGTAGTAGCAAAACAGGCGCATACTAGCTGCGAGCTGCCAAAGGGCGAGTCTGTCCCAGTCCCACTAATTTAGCTTCAACATAATGTTCGCATTGATAACTTTATTTTTGAACTTTGTTCGAAGGATTCGTGAAGACACCACAACGACAGTTTACTGCACGTCGATACGTCACGGAGGCCACGCAGAATGGGACTTTGCATTTAATCAGCATCAAATGACGGACGATGACGAAGAAGCCAGCGAGCTACGATCAGCAATGGCATGCAGCCGGGCGTCGTATACTTTACAGGCGTAAGTTATAACGGCCAAGTCAGTCTCATCGGAATGTCTAAAGAAAAAACGACTTTGACAACATTCTACTACATTAGTTTGCGATACGACTCTTACATTGGTCTCATTACATTTCGTGTTGCCATGGCTTCTTCATTGGCCCTTTATTCAGACTTTGTACGCCGTGGTTGAGTTCAAGCACGATTCCGATCCATAGTAGACACATATTGTCGGGGGTTATCGTATATTTTGTGAAATAATTCAAAAGCAGGGACGTGCAGAAGTATTTGTTATGTTTAATGGGATATATATATGAGCTACATGACACCAAATGAGCATACTGTTGTCATATTCCTGCAAAATAGTTCTTAATATAATCCTAATGTCAAACTGTTTAGCCCCAAATGATTTACCAACAAACTCACGCGCCTTGGATCCAAGGAGGGATGCTTGACATTTCCATATTTCTAGGTACATGGACTATTTCTTGAACACGTCATTGGCCACAGATGTGATTGGTGAAGTGAGAGATGCATCTGGACTCGGTTTCAACCTAGCCTGGGACTTTGTCAATATACACTTTGACAGTTTATATAAAAGGTAGATAGACTGGTATATATATAATACATGATAGGTGGGTAGATATCCAATATGGAAGGTAGGTATATATCCAACATGAATGGTAGGTACATGTCGTGAAGAATGGTAGGTACATATCCTACATGAATGTTATGTATGTATCCTACATGAGACGTAGGTATGTATCCCACATGAATGTAGGATATATCCAACATGAATGTTAGGTATATATCCAGCATGAAAGGTAGGTATATATCCAACATGAATGGTAGGGTAAATATCCTACATAAATGATATATACATATCCTACATGAATGGTAGGTAGATATCCAACATGAATGTTAGGTATATACCCAAAATGAAAAGTAGGTATATATCCAACATGAATGGTAGGGTACATATCATAAATGGTATATACATATCCTACATGAATTTTAGTTATATATCCAACATGAATGGTAGGTATATAACCAACATGAATGGTAGGTACATATCCAACATAAATGGTAGGTACATATCCTATATAAATGGTATATACATATCCTACATGAATTTTAGGTATATATCCACCATGAATGTTAGGTATGTATCCAAAATGAAAAGTAGGAATATATCGTACATGGGTGTTAGGTATATATTCAAAATGAAAGGTAGATACATATCCTACATGAATGTTAGGTATATATCCAAAATGAAAGGTAGGTATATATCCAACATGAATGGTATATACATATCCAACATGAATGGTAGGTAGATATCCTACATGAAATGTAGGTATGTATCCCACATGAATGTTAGGTATATATCCAAAATGAAAGGTAAACATATATCCAACATAAATGGTAGTACATATCCTATATAAATGGTATATACATATCCTACATGAATTTTAGTATATATCCAACATGAATGGTAGTAGATATCCACCATGAATGTTAGTATGTATCCAAAATGAAAAGTAAGAATATATCGTACATGGGTGTTAGGTATATATTCAAAATGAAAGGTAGGTACATATCCTACATGAATGTTAGGTATATATCCAAAATGAAAGGTAGGTATATATCCAACATGAATGGTATATACATATCCAACATGAATGGTAGGTAGATATCCTACATGAAATGTAGGTATGTATCCCACATGAATGTTAGGTATATATCCAAAATGAAAGGTAAACATATATCCAACATGAATGGTAGTTACATACCCTACATGAATGTTGGGTACATATCCAAAATGAAAGGTAGGTATATATCCAACATGAATGGTATATACATATCCAACATGAATGTTAGGTATATATCCAAAATGAAAGGTAGGTATATATATCCAACATGAATGTTAGGTATATATCCAAAATGAAAGGTAGGTATATATCCAACATGAATGGTAGGTACATATCCTACATAAATGGTATATACACATCCCACATGAATGTTAGGTATATAGCCAAAATGAAAAGTAGGTATATATCCAACATGAATGGTAGGTACATATCCTACATAAATGGTATATACACATCCCACATGAATGTTAGGTACATATCCTCCATGAATGTTAGGTACATATCCTACATGAAAGGTAGGTATGTATCCCACATGAATGTTAGGTATATATCTAACATGGATGTTAGGTACACATCCTACATAATTGGTATATACATATCCTACATGAAAGGTAGGTATGTATCCCACATGAATGTTAGGTATGTATCCAACATGAATCTTAGGTACATATTCTACATGAATGGTAGGTAGATATCCTACATGAAATGTAGGTATGTATCCCACATGAATGTTAGGTATATATTCAACATGAATGGTAGGTACATATCCTACATGAATGGTAGGTACATATCCCACATGAATGTTAGGTATGTATCCAACATGAATCTTAGGTACATATTCTACATGAATGGTAGGTAGATATCCTACATGAAATGTAGGTATGTATCCCACATGAATGTTAGGTATATATTCAACATGAATGGTAGGTACATATCCTACATGAATGGTAGGTACATATCCCACATGAATGTTAGGTATATATCCAACATGAATGGTAAGTACATATCCTACATGATGGACAGGTAAACTCATAGTAGCTGCTGACATAGAAAGTAAAACAAGTAAATAACTCGGAATAAACAGCATGGTAAATACTATGTCTAATTGTAATAAATATGTAATGCGTGGTCGACAGGTGGATGAGAAATGAACACGATATATGTGTTTTCTTTAAATAATTCATTTCCTTTTGTCATTAAAATATAATAACTATTGCTGTATATAATACGATCATATTTAAAACTCATTATTGCGTGATATAAATCATGTTATATTTTATTTGAATTAATTACCCGGACATCTTGTATTTCACGCGCGAGTTGAACGGGAGTTTGATCATAATTACTGTTATTTACCTGTGTTTCAAATACCAATTTCACAGCTTTGGTGACTCGGCCTATGATACTGTCTGGAGCTTTGCAGACACGATGAACACAGAGAAAGATCGAAACGAGGTTCGTAAATAAGGAGTATTGGTTGGATGAAAATGACATTATTAAAATCACAATGGTAAAATTGCTGTTATTTTGCGTTTGTTTGGCGTGGTTCACGGGAGGTGTGCGTGAAATTTTATTGTGTCTGAGATTCTAAATGGAAGCTTTAAAAAGTAAATAAACACAACTTTTGTGTATTGTCCTACAGATGGAAGCGTTTGGTTTACGCTACCCTGATATGCCAGGTACAGCTGCCAACGATTTTTACTACTCACTCAAAAAAATAAAGAGTAATATGGCATGGATGGAGAAAAATGAAGTTGAGCTCAGACAATGGTTGGAAGAAATAATGTCACGAACATAGTAACAATGAAGTACAGTCCGAAACATGGCATCGCCATGAACGTTCTTTCTATGTTAACCCATGCGCATTTTGTAGTATTTTTTTAATGTACTCTTTTTTTTCAATAATTTGCGCCCTCTAGTGACAAAGCGCTTCTATGATTTCAAAATGTTTTTTTCTACCAGACGTCATTTAGATTATAACGTGTTTGTAAAATGTTTTGTTATTTTATTGACGGACGACCATTGCAGTTTACCCGGGTTCAATTGACATATATTCGAGGTCACGGTGTTATTTGCTTTTTTTCAAAGATTGTGACGATCAATTAAAATGTTTTTAATAAGGCTTGCTTTTTCATTTTTCACCTGAGTGTGTATTATACATTTATTATTTGCCTTAAAGTGTATATGTTATTGTAGTGTCACTGATGAAAAATGACACTATGGACACGAATAGTTATATATGTAGTATGTGTGTGTGAATAAATGACAGTGTTCGGGATATTACAACAGATATGCTGGTATGACGTATACGTCACGGTTATCCATCTAAATGTAGTCAACGACAGTCTTGATTTAAATCTGGAAAGTACATTTTACTCCCATCTCGATGGCGGAGGAAAATATAAAAATAGACCAAATACTGTTTTGATGAGACAGTGATGTGATGCGCGTTTTCCACAATTTGAATCCACCTCCCTCTACCTGCAAAAAAATGACCGTTGCTACTAAAGAGTAAACGTGTTTTGTTCTGTGAAATCATATGTTATAGTCTTCAGGACGTTAGAGAGCGCGGCTTAATC